TGGGCTTGCATATGGCTACTGTGACATTAGGTGAGAAAGCACTGGGTTCCCAGTCTTCTCCTTCAGTGTAGGTTTGGGGGTTTTTTTGGTTTTTGTTTTTGTTTTTTTCCCTTGAAGGGAAGTTCTCTGCATCTTTAAGCACATTCCAGCCAACTGTGCCTCTGGCAATAGCTTTCAGCAATGGTAGCGCATTTCCCTGCTGCCTCTACAAGCAACAGATGTCCCATCTGCGCTCTGCAGCTTCTGCTTGCACATGTGGCAGCCACCAAGATCACAGTCTTGCATGAAAGGCTTCCTGGCTGCTTTATCAGCCACCATATTTGGGCTATGCTGGGAAATCCGTCATCTCCTAAGTACTATGCACTTTCCAAATGAAGTGCTGACCCAGTGCTAGGCTCTACTCCTGTAGGATCTCCCCTGCCCCAAGCCTCCATGAGCAGAGGGAGGGAATCACTACAGGGTCAAAATTTAACATTGGCAGCTGGTGGTAAAGAATTATGATTTATTTCTTTTATTTGGTCACTGGCTATCATTAAAAATAAATGAAAAAAAATGCAATCAGTCAATAAATGACAATTTCCCAGCTGGAGACATGCAAGTGTAGGCCTGAGTTAAGGCAAGGGGGTCTGACTGTGCCCATCTCACCCGTGTGTGAAGGGCTGGGTGGCACCTTTGCTCAGGATAGGCTGACAAAGCCCTACAAGTAGGCTGGTCATGCCCCATGCCGATGGCAGGTCTGCTACATGGGGCAAACCCAGAGCTCAGCAGCCTGACCTTCCCTGCCCACCCTGCTGCGTGCAGGGTCCTGAGCCTCATGGGGACCTGCCCACACTCACATGTATGCACACAGACACACATATGCACAGAGCCAAGGGCTGCAATGTCCAGGCTGGTGGCAGCTCTTGCTCTTTCATGGGCACCATCACTCACGTGGGCTTCCCCTGGAGCTGCCCCAGCCCTCCCCAAGTGCGACTGCCCCGTAAACAGCCCTTCCCTCCCCCAGCCCCCTTCGTGCACTGACCTTGACCTGAATATCATCATCCACTTCAGCCACAGGCAATTGCAAAGAGTGGCAGGTCACCCAAGGATATTTTTCCCAGCTCACCATGGTGGTGCTGCTTGGGAAGGAAGAGCTGCCTGTGATCCTCTTTCCCAACCCTTGGGCTCTTCTGGAGATTCCCAGTGATATCTGCAGCCAGTGCATGATGAACATCCCACAACCATCAGTGCCAACAGTATGCAGGGGGTACGGGGTGGGGGGCTGCCTCTTTAATTACATCCAAATAACAACTCTCTCCAGCCCCCAGGAGGTACTGGGTGAGCAAACGATCCCCATGCTGAGTTGGAGGGAACAGACATTGAACTGTTTGGCAGTTGCAATCAGAAGCCTTTTTTTTTTTCTTTTTTTTTTCTTTTTCCCCCAAACGCTGGTCAGCAGCTGTGTTGTTTATAAAATGAATGGAGCCCTTAATGAAGCAATGGATAGAAACAGTGAGAGGCTGTGTCTGTCTGTTACAAAGAGCCAAGGGGGAAGGGCTGATCTCTTAAAACACCCTGACATCCTTTCTCTCAGTTATTTAAACATTAGGCATAGCAGCGATCAGCTATCAACATAAAGCCTACATTTGGCTCAATGGAAACACTAAATCCACACATCAAAACAGCTGTTCATATATACAGACCGCAGTTCTAGTGAATGTGAAACAGTGCAAAATAGTGTGAAACAGTGAAAAAAACAAAAAAACAAAAACCCAAAAGCAGATGGCATGTGGGGAAGTGGAGGATCAAGTTGCAAGCGGCACTTGTGAGATGCTGCTCAATGTGTTGTGTTGGGAGAAACAACAGACATTATTACTGGCACATTGGGGCTTGCAACAGATATTCTGCCCAAGATGAAAAAACAGACAGGAAGAGAATTCCAGCACTGGAGAGAAAAAATAAGCAGCTTTGCTAAAAACTGTTTTTTTCTCCAGCTCAGTCCATTGCTTGCAACACATGACATTAATCATAAACCCCCAAAACACATCTAGGTTAAAGTTTCCAGCTGTTTAGTCTCTAGAGACTTTTAAAGGAGGAAAGCAGCATCCTTCAGCCCAAAAGTCCTGCTGCGATGACATGGTATTGGCACATCCTCTCCTATTCCTTCTCTGCAAGGACAGGGAGGGGGAAAGCCATCTTGAAGTTTAGCCAGATTTTTGTACAGTAGATGTCAAGGCCCAGGCAGAGGTGGAAAGAACCCAGATTTCAGCAATGACATCCTTTCTACCATTGGTTTTGAAATGCACCACTACAGCAAAGATTTGGTATTGAGATACATTAAAGCAATCAGGAAGCCTCTTGGTCCCCGAGAGTCCATTATCTCCTCTTCCACCCTTTATAGCCCCAAAAGCACTGTGGGGGGCAAGCTGTTAATTTTCTGGAAACCTTCCATTATCCAGTCTGAATTTCCTCTATGCCACAGGAGCTCCTTGCTCCGTGGTGGCCATCCATCCTTTGAGAAAATGGTGAAACCTCACTTCATCTTTTCTGGTTTAATGACACTACAATATCCAGACTAACTCTGTCTCCAAGAATAATGTAGAACTTGGCATTTGCAAACTCTAGGAAGGGATTTTATAAAAATTTCTAACAAATCTGCAAGCCACTTGCATTTCTTCAGTAAAAGTTAAAGATACCAGATCATCAGTACTGAGGGGAAAGAGGAGTCATACATAACTCCTTGTAAAAGGTAAGACACCACTCCTCTGTACTGTCCTCCAGATTTTCTGTACAGGTACACACTGTCCCTTGCCCAATGAATACTTTTTGTTGCAAAGCTGACATTTATAGTGATCCTAGCAACTCCTCGGTGCTCAGAATTGCTCGCAGATCCCTTTGTGCTGCAAGAAAACTTGGATGCATTCCTCTCCGTTAAACGAAAATAAACTGCCTAGGCTTGACAGGCACACATACCATGGTGTCCTTGTGGAAGGAATGATTAGCCATTCCCAGAAAAGCTCAGCGAAGAACTTAAATTTGCCCTTCTTTTGTAAGATGGGTTGGCAGAGGTTCCTCTAATTTTCACTGGCACTGGCTGTGGTTAACCAAATCAAGTCTTTTGCTGCTCTCAGTCCAATTACAACTGCTGAATCATCACATCTAGAAGAGCCTTGGCTCAGACATGCCAAATATTTGCTATTGCCTCTTCCTATCACAGGATTTTTTGACATACAAGAGGAAGAAGTAGCCCAAAATAGTTCCAGCAAAACCACAAACCCACCCATCCCTGAAAAACCCAGTATGTTACATCAGTCACTAGGTAAGAGCACCACATCCTCACTAAGGTCCCAACACAGAAAGCCCAGCAGAGCCATTTCAGTGGCCAGGCTCTGTTATTTCACAGAACCATTAAGGTTGGAATAGACCTTTAAGATCATCCAGTCCAACCATCAACTCATCACCATTGTGCCCACTAAACCACATCTCTGAGTGCCACATCTAACCACCTCCCATGCTGAACAGCATTAATGCTCCCAGACCCTCGTAACACATGGAAGAGAGCCTCCAGACCCTCAGAGGGATGCTTGTCCATGAAGGGGAAATACTGCTCAAGTTACAAAAAGCCCAAATCTTTTAACTGGAAACCACTGAGATAAATAGAAGTTTAAAGTGAAAAAGGACAATGTACTTCTGCTTCAAGGATGGAAATAAACCAGTATTTTAATGCTTTCCTGCACCTTCAGATTCCTCTCTCTTGTATATAGGGAGTCCTTTTAAAACTTATTTGTGAAGGGTTAGTCTTTTCTCTCCTTTTTTGAAGTAAGATTCTTGCAAAAGGTCCAAAAGCAGTAAATTTAGCTCAAGGTGGCACCTGCTATTTCAGACAAGAGGCTCAAATACCTCCAGAGACTGGTGAAGAATGTGTCAAACACTGACAGACTTACAGATCAGACTGGGAACAGAAAGGATGCAACAAGCATGGCACCCACTCCAGTGAGGAAGTCAGTGTACATGTCACAGATCTATGCACCAGACAGTACTCTATCTATGGAGAAAAATAAAACTTCAAACAGCAAATCAATAGTATTCCGTACCGAGCCCTCAATTTTGTTATGCATCCGATAGAGCAAAATTATCCTTTAGTACTTTCAATAGCCAGTCACATCTAATACTCAAGTGTGTTGGGTTTTCTTAGAATAAATAGTAGGCTGGAGTGAAGAAAAAAAAAAAGCTGAGCACATAAGTAAGGAAGGGCAAAGATATGAGCAAAAGAAAAAAGATTTAATTGATACAAATGGGGGACAAGAATATACTCCCACCAAGAAGGACTATTGTACTCCTGATAAAACATTAAGACACCAGACATTGCAAAGTTACAAATTTATTTGTTTTGAAATAAATACAAATACTTCATTAAGAAACTTTTCTTGATAGACTTTACACAATAGCTTTATTCTTTCTGGAAATTGTCTTTTCTTCGCACAAACTGTTACAAATATTCTACACAAGAGCTGAAGTTAGTCAAGATAAAGTAATCTAGATGATGTTCCTCTGAACAAGCAATCCCAAAGTATTAACATTTGCTATTTAACTTCTCAGCATTTGAGTTTTCTTGTTTGTGTGAGGACTGCAATGCAGCAGGTATGCACTGGATCTTGGAAAATCCTGTCCCACTACCTACAGAAGGACAAACTCTAGAACACCTGACTGTGAAAATCTGACTGGTGGAAAGGTGTCAAGCCACTAGCATCAAAGAAAGTAACCCAAGGTATCAGGAGGCTACATAAAGATGCAGAACCAGCCGATCATTACATTTATGAAGACATTAAACACTATATTTCAGATACAGTGTTGCCGCTCCACCAACTTTGTGGAATACACTTCTCTGCACCAGTGAGATCTCATCACAGTTTCAAATATAGCAATTAGTGGCAGTTGAATGTACAGTATCTAATTACATGTCATCCCATAGTTATTCATCTCTCCTGACAAAGAACAGCTGGATCTGGCTTCGCTTACAGAATTCTGAATTTATCACAATTGTGCTGGACACAAAAACTTGAGCTGCAAAGATAAGAAGCTGCCTGAAGGAAAAATCAAGCTGTTTCTGCTTTGCTGGCATGTATGGCTACCCTACTTGTTACAACTATACCAACTTTTACGGTACAGTAAACCCTTTGGCCCAGGATCCCAAAGAGGAAATGCTACCTTGCTTATTAAATTTAAATCCTGTCCTCATTTGGCTAAGCAGGTTTTAGGGTCTAGGAGGGGGGAAGAAAAGGAAGACTGTAACTAAATCTCAAAGAAGTGAAATAAAAAAGCTTAAAGATTTAGTTCGTCTCAGAGTCACATTAAAATCGCCTATTTTAGTAGTATATTATTGTACATAGGAAAACAGGCTTGAATACTAATGAATTAGAAGGCCTATAAATGCACGATACATTAACTTCTCTATCATTTGAAGTCAAGCTATATACAATTAATTCAACTCCAGCTTCAACATGAGGCCATAACACGTTTCATTTCCTTCTTTAAAAGCCATCTATAATAGTGATTTTTTTTCTCCCCCTGTTTGAAACTCATCTCAAATTGTGCCAGTGTACTTTAAGAGAATAAGAGATAAAGGGGCACGTAACAGCTTTGATTTTAAAGGAAGATATTAAGCAAGTCTGGTTTGTCTCTGAAGTGTTTACAACCACATCAGCTTTTGGCAAGTATCCTTTAGAATTTGGCATTCATTGAAGGAGGGCACAATAGCAGCAACTGTCTGAGTTACAAGAATAATGATAGAGCAAATGAGATGCTTCTTTTCTTTGGTCCCTGTCAGACCCTGGTGAACAGAGTTCATCCTACAGAATAGCTTGAGATAATTACCAGTTATGTTTTTGTGATACATAGGGGGCATCCATTACTTTTTCACACTGTGACCAGTTTAAACCTCCCACAGCCATCTAACAGGACACTTCCATGGACTTGGGGCTTGATTGTTCAGCGTTGTTTGCTGAGTTCGGCGTCAGCTCGATGCGCGTGTCTGTGTGGGAGCGGTTCCTGGCACCGTCCCCGGTGTGGGATCGACTCCTCGTTCCCTCGCCGGTATGAGACCGGCTCCTCGTGCCTTCCCCGGTGTGAGACCTGCTCCTCTGTCCTTCCAAAGAGGTTACGCTGGAGCCAGAAGCGGTGCGGGACCTCATCAGCCTGGTCATGCTAGCAGAGGGCACTGGAAGAAGTTTTTCATTAATACCTTGCTTCATGGTCTTGGAAGGAAGCCCTTGCCTTCCTCTCCAGCCTTAACCACCCTTAGAGAAGCCTTCAAGGTTGAATCTATACTATTCATGGTAACTTTACGTGCAGAAGTAGTACTACTGCTCCAGTCATACAGTTAAGGAGCCCAAATTACTAAGGCAAAATTGGTGGCCAGGGCTGAGGGATACAAGACAGAGCTTTATAGCATGTTGCTGTGGCTGCAACAATCCAGAGGAAAACTAAAGAGACTCATCAGACCCCTCATTACTTTCAGATGTTTAACCTTTGCTGGCAGCCCAGGCTAGCATTGCAGCTACACAACAGCAGTTGTCAGAAGCACATACTTGAAGGACAAAAAAAAACTATAAAGCAAAGAAGCCTCTGAACTAATGAAGTTTTAAATGTTGTGTGCACTATATGAATCATGTCCTGTGATGCAGTGAGGGAACACTATTACAAATATCCACCTTAAAAACATCAAGGTAAAGTAAAGCTGGTATTTGTGGGTATAAGCTGTCTACACAGCTCTCCATTATTTAGCAACATAATTTGGTCTCTAGAACACACAACTGTGTGTACTCTCAACCCTTAGCTCAGACACCTCAAGTGTTTTTTTTTCCCCTTGCAAATGCATATGTAACAGGGAAAAGATCACACATTTGGGATCAGAAGACTTTCTGAGTGTTTAGATAACAAACGAACTTTGGCAGACAGGTCAACCATTCCATAAATCCAATACTTACTGTATCCCATTCCCTGAACAAAATATTTGAAAGCTTCTGCAAGCTTGGCAGGCTGAAAAAGAAAGAGTATTATTGTATGCAGTGCTCAGCAAGTTAGTTACATTACAGTGTCTCAAAATTTCATTTACAGGAGAGAATTCCACCATTCCCCTCCCTAGTCTGCTCCCTTGCCCCATTACTCTAGCAAATGAAGACAATGCATTTGAGAATGAGATTCACAGAGGAGTGACTACAAGAGATCTAATCATGGCCCAAGCTTTGCTTGTGCAGTTACTGAGGAAGGTGAGACTCAGTAAAACAAGTGGGGCCTCACAAAATATACAAAGCAGTTCATGGAGGGTCAGTAACTGAGCAATTCCTAATCAGCAGAGAACAAATTCAGCTAGTCAGAGCTGACAGTTGTGTTTATAGGGCAAAAAAGCTCAGCAGTAATACGCAATCACAGCTGCCTATGACTGACATTCTCGCAATGAGGCACTCACTATGTTTCTCTGCTGCTGACACAGTGGCCAAACAAGACTCACAATCTTATCACACATGCCTGTGTTGCCTATATTTTTTGTATAATTCTATCTGAATCAGTGCAAAGAATGGGCTCTGTATAAGAGAAGCAATGCACATCCTCCTGCATGGCTTGAGAAAAACCCTTTTCCCTCTCCCACTGTTAGAGTGCACACTGCCTGTACAGGGACTTCTCAGCTGCAGGTTATTAAAAATTCAGTTTTTTCCTTAAGTTAGAGAACATCACTTTATACTGCTTAGAAATCTGTTTAGTAAAGATCACATCCTAAAGCTGATTTACAGGTCAGCTGTTTTAGTAAAGCAACACAGGTAAATTTTAACTTTCCCAGCCTGGTTTTATTAGCAGCCTTGGAATTTATGCCTGAATATATTTCAGAAACTCCAGTTCATTCTCAGTCAGGCTAGGTCAGTGTATGCAAGAACACAGCATTGCTATTTCCTGCCTCCCACTTTCCTGATCTATACTATAAATAGTCCAAATAAGAATATGTTTTCAAAACAGTAGTGCTCAAGCCTTAATCTATGTTAGCTTAGTAGACAGGCATAAAATAATACCTCCGCATTCCCACCTCAGACCTTTACTTGGTTAAGACTTAATTAGTGGAAATAATATCCCCTCCCAATCTTAATTTTGCGCTTCATTGGTCTTTAAAGAAAAAAGAAAGCTCAGATGACCGACTGACATCATTATTCGTGAAATCATAACCATCCTCTTGGCTGACATTTGGGAACAGCAAGTACCCTACAGGAAAACACCCATTTATTGCAGTCTGACACGCTGCAGAACAGGATTAATAGGATTTCCGTCAGCCAGATCCTACCTGGGAAACTTGAGGGAGCCCACCGCAGTCAGCCATCTGAAACAGGGATGAGAACAGCCAGTTAGTGTAATGCCAGAGGAACTCATTTGTTCTCAGGATATATTAAAGTGACCTTTTCAGCTATCTGGCAGAAAAACATTTCCTTTTGTTGTGTGAGTAACATACGTGTAGATGAAGGCATCAAAGCAAGTAGTTCAACGTTTCTAAAAGCTACTACTGCACCCCAGAAAACCCCTCGATCCTCAGGCAAAGCATCAGCTGGAGCGACAAATAAGTGGTTTTCTGCTAGGCAGTGATTACCAGTTTCTTAGAAACTAGTCTATTAGTCCTGGCTACAAATTCAGCTGTGAATTACAATAACATGACTTGGTACTAACCTGAATGACAAAGAAGGGAGAGAGAACAAACACCTAAACCTCAGAGGTGAGAGGGAAAACGATTTCCTGAGATTGCGGATGGCAAGCATCAGCCTGACTCACCAAGGGAAGCAGGGAAAGCCAAATTAGAAAAGCTATCTTGAGTGCATGCAATATTTTTGGAGCACTTCATTTTTCCTGCCACTCCACCCCTCAAAGCAAACCCAACAAAAACAGTCCCGTTCCAAGGAACACCACAAGCAGAAAACAGTTGAGTTGTGAATTACAGGAAACCCCAAATCCTATCTAGGATTAGTTAGCAGCAAAACAGGCCTGTAGCAGGATCTGGCATCAGCCGTATCCCTGGACTGTACAAAGGCTGGCCACTGTTAGAGGATCTGAGTGTCAGATTTTTCCTTAGGGTGAGTCTGCCATGTCCACCTGGTAGGTCAGCAGTGTAACTCACCAATGTTAGGAGGAAACAGCATTTAAAAAAAAAAAATCATTATTATACTTTTCACTGACCAGTTCAATAACAAAAGATACAGTAAAAGTTCCCAGCAGAAGCAAGACCAAACTTGTTTCACTGTTTGCACGCTATTACACTAATTGCATTTTAGTTCATCAGTAACGAGCTGAAGATTGCACCCACACTTTGAATGCCAAGTATCAGCCAAAGCCTTTCCACAATGCTTTGCTGTTTGGAAGTGCATTTTATTAAGTTTCTTGAAAATGAAAGAGTCATTTCCAACAGTAAGGTGTCCTGGATGGTGTGCACATAAAAGGCAGGATGACAAAACCGCAGCTGACAGATCAGCTGTCCATTCATTTGACACTACCGTTGAGGGACAGGCAAGCACAGGAACAGAACGAGTTGGTTTGCACTTCCACTGTGCTGATGGCTTTTTTCAAACCTTTCCAAATACCCTGAGATCAAGTTTGCCAGCTCTAGTCAAATTCATTATGGGTATGTGAAATACTGAGTGTTTCAAGTCTCAAGTGTTTTAAAATTGAGGAGCTGAGAAATTCCCTGTTGTTAACCTTGACAAGAAGCTCCTACTCTGGTTCTTCTCACTAAAATACTCTGACCCTGAAGGAACTGACCTTCCACATCAGAACTGGATTCTCACTGTTTTACCTGTACTGCAGCACATTGCTGTGGTTCTGCTTTTTTTAGTTAATCCAGTTGATTTTAAATGAGGGAAATGTTTATTATAAGAAACAGCTTTTGTTATTACCTTCAGAAGTGTGGTCCTTGTTGGGTCCAGCTTTGCATTGCATTCAACCTATATTAAAGAACAGCACCATAAGCATACACAAGATTTCAGTTACGAACTGCTGGATGAGAACAGATTAAATATCATGGGTTTTTTTGCTTAATACAGACTAAATTTGGTATCTTACATTTCTGTACAAAGACTCTATGTATATGTACATACAGCTTTAAACCCAAGTAGGTCAGTTCACATTTCTGACTGTATTCTTTTCTGGGTACAAACAAACCCATTATTTGGGAATTGAAGATTTTTTAAATCTGTTTCTGTGACTCCAGTAGCAACAAGTGTTGTTTATCTTGTGATTTGGGGTCATCTGGTAATGTCCCAAGTGGTGAGCAGCCATATGGCCACAGGCCAGCAGATCGGGCATGCCCATTAAGGCACAACATTTGAAGTCACCCAGTCATCTGGGGCGAGTTCTAACGGTCAAAAAGAAGCTCTTCACTTCCACAGTGACCCAGGGCAGAGCTCCAACACCACAGAACAAGCTCAAATACCAGCAGCAGATTCCTCTCTAAAGGAAAATATTTGCGGTTCACTGGAACTGCTGGGGCGATTGTTCCTAACGCAGTAGCTATTAAATAATGGTGCACAGACAGAGGGGACAAACAGTGAGGGATTAATGGCAGCTCTCCCGCGGTCTGAAAGAGGAGAGCCAGCTGGGCGGGATCGATAGCCAGCGAGGCTGCTGCACGGGCGTGAGCTCCGCCGGCATCACGCAGCTTCTTGGCTGGCCTGCCCGTGAGCAGGGGGGCAAAGACAGCTGGATATACACACCACAGCATCCACTGCCGGGGAACTGTCACCAACCACCAGGAGAACGGGGCATCTGCAAGGAAGCACACAGAAACCCTATTATCTCTGTGATCCCACCCAGACTTGCCCTAAGCTGCATTTTGTGTTGCTGGAAGGATGAGATAGTTACGTGTGTGAAAATGATTTGGTTTGTATTCCAGCCACCTTAAATATACATCAAATCTACTGTATTAGCTGCAGATCTACTGATGTGCTCTGATACCTTGCCTGAGAACCTGTCCTTTTCCCCACCTTGTAGTAATCAGCTGTGATCCCACCCAGACTTGCCCTAAGCTGCATTTTATGTTGCTGGAAGGATGAGATAGTTACGTGTGTGAAAATGATTTGGTTTGTATTCCAGCCACCTTAAATATACATCAAATCTACTGTATTAGCTGCAGATCTACTGATGTGCTCTGATACCTTGCCTGAGAACCTGTCCTTTTCCCCACCTTGTAGTAATCAGTCTTTCCCAGTGTTCTTATTCCTTGCTTTATAAGAAATTGAACATGAGCATCAGCATCAAATTCACATCCCCACCCTGCCCCCCCAGGCCCCTGAGCTCCAACTTTTGGATCTGTTTGTCCAGTTTCAAGCAGATTGGCAGAAGTCTCCTGTGTGTAAACATCAGCAGCTGAGCAGAGAAGGACCTGACAACCATTACATTGCACAAGTTGCAGTATAAGTGAAAAACTATTACCAGAAGATCTGGCGGATAGTCATTCTCAAACCTGCTCCATCTTCCTGGAGGTTTGTTTTTGTTGTGGTTTCCTCCCCCCCCCATTGGTTTCGTTTATGTTCTCTTGGTTGTATAGGCACAGCTTAAGTGCATTCAGAACTATAGTTTCCATTAACTAGGATATATTTCCAGGTGAAGCTAAGTACATCTACTTTTCAAGTAATTACTCCGTAAGCCCAAGTTTGCAGACACACAGTGACAGGAGCTATTTAGCTTTCCATTTCAGCTAGTATGACTCTGAAGTCTGAAGAGGGGAAGTCTCCCTAATGGTGGTCTCTGACTTTCAGCAACCTCTTATCTCCTACACAAAGTTACAAGATCCTCTCCTAGCACAGAGGCTCATTCAGCTACAGCTTTGCAATGCACCCACTGATCACACCTCTGCTCACATCATGTATGGGTGAACTGGTAGGAAACAAAATACTTACTGAAGAGTAACAACATTTATTCCAGGAACAGGGCGCTCAATCTCTAGGTCTCGCCGACTAAAAAAAAAAATGAGAGGACAAAGGCTCTTGATACACTGAAATTTTACAGATACTTCCATATTCTTCTAGTTTAGAGAAAGCACAGACACTCACATATGTTAATTTAATCTGATACGTGTTGTAGCCCCCACAACTGATGGAGAACCACTCTTGGACTGAACTATCAATGTCTTAGTTCAGTCCCTGTATACAATCTTTCTCCCCAAAAATACACAAGATCCTTCTCCCATAAACAAACTACCTGAGATCCTTAAAGGCCCTATCAAGCAGAACTTTATACTGGGGGAACACAAGTAACTCCACCACACAAGTAATACTGGCTATAAGAGCTGAACAGCCTCTTAAAACAGTTTCTAGTTAGAAATCAGGTAAATGTATTTACCTGTTGTAAGAGTTGACAAAGAGATGAAGGTTGGTTTGATTCATATCATTAATAATATGCTGACGGTAAGTATAGATCAGGTCATGGTTGCTGTGAATCTCCTCCTACAGTGGAGACAGAATTGTTCAGAATAGGGGCTATTTTTTTAAAGGATCTGAAGACATGACACAGCAGTTGTCTATCAGACTCACATCTAAACAACAGGAGGGCACCAGCACCTAGCACCCAGTGGTGTCACCCAGAATTAACATCAGCTCTTAACAGCAGTACCACATTTTTCGTTTTAGACTTTCAGTATGTTGTAATGTCAAGATCTTATAATTGCAAAACCTGTTAGTTGTAGTGCAGATGGTTACAGTCAGACACATGTGAGGTTTTAAAACAAAAAATGATTCAGGATAAGAAGCTCAATAAAAGTTTACAGGGTAAAGCAGATGTTGAAAGCTTACAAACATATGTAATGTGGAACTCTGTTTCACAATAGTAAATAACTAAGCTTCAAGGACTTCAATAGCTAACATTTTCAAACAGTTTGGTTCTAAAGTCTTTATAGATTAGTTCCTTGTTCTTCTGGAATGGAGTTTTATATTGCATTTGCTAACAGTTTCAGGCACAGGAAAGTAGCCTCAGAAAACAATACAGCACCTTCCATTAAAGTAGGCTTGTACTGAAGAGCACCATTAGTACCAATAACCAGCTTTCCCACACTCACAGGTATATTATGGTATAAAAAAATCTGTGGGGTGATCCTGCT